TCGTACAAGGCTTAATAAAGTTGACTCACAAACATCTTTACCAGGGCAGCATATTTACCGATCAAATGTGCGTGCGCTATAATTTTAAGCCTACGTCCTTCCATCCGGACGTCAGGCGGCTTGTTTTTTACTCGCTAGTTAATCCTGGCGATAAAAATTCTCTAGAACAGCAGCATTTACCAACCTGTTATTAATCTTAATTAGGGCAATAGAATCAACTTATGAGCGCTGCAAATGCGACCAAGGAATTTTGATGCGGCACTAATCAAGTGGTCTCCTGATTACGGCAGCGTTTCATCAGTAAGTTCAAACTTCACTGTTTCCCATCCATCATACTGACTGATGAAAGCTTCTTATCAACCAAAAACCCGTAATAACCGAAACGTTCTTCCAAACAGCCATTATATGACAGGGTCACAGGTTATCTGGAATGTCCATATCACCTAAACAATAGTGTCTCACCGACGCAGCAATCGCTTATATAATTAGATCACTGAGTTACTCCGTTTCAAACGCCATAAACTGACGGACTAAATCTATCCTCCTGGTATTTTCATGCTTAAACACTCACTTATCTGCACTTTTTCAAGCAAATTAATTTTGGAATTGACCGCCTTGTTTTCATGCGTTTATCGGTCACTTCAGAATCTTTACATCAACGTCCGACAACCACTGAACAAGACTCTGCTTTGCTTGCAGAAACCTTTTGAAATTTTCACGAGAAGTTCCTTCTGAAGTTCCTGCAAAATACTGATGTGCTGGTATCCCAAAATGACTGAGTTACAGAGAGGAGAATTTAAAATTTATTTCATCTTTTGCCAAACTCTACCAGTGCAATTAGTATGAATGCATAATACTTCCACCAAGCAGTAAATATTCCGCAAAGAAAACGTTTTTAAACACTTGTTGTGAACAGCGATACGACTTTGATAGTTCTAGTATAGGTTTATTTTTCTAAATGAATTTCACTTCCGCTACAAGGTCCCACAGGGAAGAGCAACTGTATCGTCCTCGTTAGGAATCCCGTCACTGGGCGCCTCAAAGTTTCTAAAATGGTCTTGATACCCCTGCCTTTTTCCTAAACTTCTCACCTCATTAATATAGTCCGAGAACTATGGGATAATAAACTACCTGCACTCTAGATTTGCTCAGCACTCAGAAAAACAAGTAGCGCATACCACCCACATATAGCATGTGACTCTGTCCAAGATGTCGTACAGTGCGGAGTTTGTCAATATCTGACCGCTTCGGTTACCTAGAATTTCGTTTTTTGCCATGTACAGAGTCTATAAAATCTATGACACCTTAGGCTGGGCCACTTGCTTGCACTTTACTGGGATACTTACATTCTACTCCAGAATTCAAGTCGTTAGACAGACATATTGAAAGTAATCGCGAATTTCAACATGCACCCGGTTTCTCCTACATGAATGCGTAACAGATGCACATTTGACACGGAACAGAAACAATGCTGAGTAATGAGACTTAACTCACGGTATACGATGCGGCGTTTAATTTTTAAGGTTGTTCACCAGGGGAAATGCGTACAAACGACTTTAAATGAATCAGAAAGCAGTAAGGATGTACTTATTCTACACGGTGAAACCCTCTGGCACTTTAAACATTCTACCAACTTGTGAGACGTCATGTGGGTATGGAAACCTCACATTATATGCTTGAGGTTTACGGGCTGTTTGTTGCAGAATCACATTCCCACAACTTTCATTTGGATCAGTGCTCGAAAAAAACATGAAATTTCGAATAGTTAAACAAATCCACAGAACAATGTTTTATACTTTGGCATACATTGGCATACATTGGCAATCTAAAAAACAATTTGGGATTTCATCGTCAAGGATATTTGTCTCCCGCAGAGGGCTTCACGGTATAGAATAGGCACATTGTTACTGCTTTTTGATTCTTTTGAAGTCATTTGTATGCATTTTCCGCTGTAAGCAACCCCAAAATTAAACGCCGCGTCGTATACCGTTAGTTACTTCTCATTTCTCAGCATTGTTTCTGTTCTGTATTAAGTGTGCATTTGTAGTGCATTAATGTAAGAGAAACTGGAATTGACGATTACTTTTAATGTGTCTGTATAACGACTTGAATTCTGGAGCAGAACGCAGAGTATCTCAGTAGAGTGCAAGCAAGTAGAGTATGCTGAAAGCACGTATAATTTCGCTTTTAAAGGCTCTAATACTGTCTCCTTTGCCTTCAAATGGGGGAACATATGTGCTCCTTTTGAATCGAAACGTACGAGTAATTTACATCGTTGAGGCATATGCACTCCAACAATATGAAGCGATTCAGCATGTCTCGGTGCTTACTCAGTGGGCTATAAGCCAAAATTGACACATCCCGTCCGCAAACGCAATCAACACCGGAACAACAGTGGGATAAAACCGCGCTCATTTGGTGTTTAAATCGGTCCACATCATCAGACGTCTACTTAATTAACCAAGTTTCTTGGCAATCCGAAGAAGGCAAGACTGCTACGCTTCTGGCCCTGTCGGCATACGAGCGTTCTTTAATCCATAGAGGTGATTAGCATGTTAGATCTCCACATCTCTTTGAAGGATTTTGGTGTGGAAGGATCACCTAAATCCTGAGGATTTCGCAAAAATGAGTTATAATGACACATACGTTAGTTACACGAGGTTCCAGTGTACTTGGTATTCAACCTCATTGAGAAAGCCGGTGTCCTTCAATAAGCATGTCTGTCAATGTTTTCGCAACCTGGTTGATTACGGCTAAGCATACAATATTTTAGTATGTATGAAAGTTTCTAATTACATAACTGAATTGGTTACTGTTGGCTCGCTATGACATTACGCTTACAGGCATTGCTAACCTCCAACTGTGATAGTGTGCGTGCCCAAATTCGGTTGATTACTTCACAGCTTGTTGTCAAAGGCGTTTTAAGCACGTCTTGGAATTATACGCTTCGACTTGGCTGATACACTAGCACCACATTATATGAAGCACAATGGAACCACATGAAATGTCAAACGTAAACAGTATATTACTTGGTCTTCCTTAGACCAGAAAACTCTGGGCTAATCTATTTATTTATTTCAGTGTGAATGTACTAATAACTTCAGCCTGTACACACGGCATCCGATAATTGAAAATTTGGCTTTCGCGGGCTTTCAACCACTAGGTAACACTTGAGGAACAAACCATTTGCCGTTCATCTTGGGATTTTCAAGTGGATAAATGATATCTGTCTCAGCCAATAAATTCTTTGAACAATGAAATCCCAGAGAAGCAGTTGATCTCCATTGTAGTTATTAAACTTTTAATCCGAAAACCCCACTGCTTGAGATTTGAATGCCTAGCTTGACAGCGGGTAAGAGCAGTGCAATCGGTTAGAAGAACGAATTAATTTAGATGTCACTCTGAATTGATAGTGACCGTGGAGGCATTTGTGATAGGCTGGGACGATTTGGGAAGTTCAGTCAAGGTTTCTTCATGTGAGTGAAACTAAATCATCTCCAAAAGCCAAGGAGCAATTCACATGTGTTTCAACTTCCTTCCTTATTGATGTGTATCTCACAAACTTCTAGGGTTATCAGACCTACTGAATGCCCAACAAAACTGTTAAGCCACGAGCGGTTGACCGGTGGTATGACTAGGGTGTATGTATGCGTGGCACATGGCGTTGAATGTACATTTTTGCCACTTAATCTCACACCAGACCCAGTGTGACGGACACTGTGCCTGATGTGCGAGTGTTGACTGTGCTAGCGCCTACCGCGCCTTGAAGAGCATTCACCATTGTTTGTCCTTTCTTCGGTTGTTGGTCTTTAGACGCGTGTTTCCATATCAAAATCTTTACATACTTTGGGATTCATCTCATCAGACTGGAACTGATCTTGACATGATTTCGAATAAGACGTTTCTCTCTTTCCTTCCATATTCTCCTGTTAATCTTTCGCATTCATCGCTTGCATTCACTTTTTATGTTTGTGACCATGCGCTTAAAAAGTAAATGATAGCTGTAGCAAAACTCACTATTCAGTTATATTTCTCGCGCAGTTATGTGCAGTCGTTAAAGTCGAAAGCCGCAACGTGAACTTCCGGTTCCAGGATCGTGTCGAAAATTGAAGGCTTCAAAAAGTTACTATAAAAAAGCTACTACATTTCACTGGTGCAAGGATGATATTGTCTTATGTATCCAAAATCCTGCAGAGGGTGCTCGAAAGCTATGTGCACATATAGATATAAAATGCAACGCAAAATAGCAGCGCTCACACATTTGGTGTTGCAAGTGAGTCCACTGCTTTCAACGGGCATTTTTCAGCGTAAAAAATGAAAACAGATTAGAGTTGCCCTCCTTGAGGGATGCCTTAATGTTGAAGTTGGTTTGCGGAAATGGAGAAACTTTGCTATGATGACTTTTAAAAGCCCATTAGAAAATGGAACTCAAACTGTCATAAATTGTGAACTTTCTCTCATGATTTAAACTCCACTATGACCGAAATATGTTACATGGTAATGATCTTTTACCCACTCTTCTTCAAACTAATCAGTCCTATTTCAGCGCCTCAAAATCTTTCGTGACAGACATTAGATATCCATCACGTGGGGAATTTTAGAGAAGACACTTGAGATAACAAGCATATTGCTTGAATGCCTGTATACGCCAAAAACTTTTTCAGTATCCCATGAAGCTAGTGAATTGAAGTCAAACTGACAGGTTAATTAACAAGTTGATAACATTTTTCATTTTTCTAATCAGAAATCTGTCCTATAAGTAAAACAGTGTTATCAAAAGAGGGGTACAATGTATAACTGTTTCGTCCTGGACAAGAAGAATAAACAGGGATCATAAGACGAATTTTCAAACCGAGGACCTGTCGGAAAATATTTGAGGAATACGGTTACCAGCAGTTAACTTGAAATATCATTAAATACATTGGTCCAATGCATGACCGGTCTGCTTCCCACCTAAGCTGCACACCTGACATATCGTATTATTTTTTGCCATATTTCAGCTTTTCATGGAAATGGATGAATCCGAAAATCAACGGAAAACGAGCCTGCTCAGTGAACACAAGAACTCAGAACAGCATACACGCAGAAATTCTGGGAGGAAAATAAGCTACACGGAGGGATTGAGCGCCACAGAAACGAAAATGCAAATGGTGTGTGTGACCAGAGTGCTTCAAATGATAAAGTTGTAAAGTTGGTGGAGTGCATTATTATGTTGAACTTGTAGGGAACTTCAAATATATCCAGAAAGTGCCTATTTTTGAATGTGAGGTTCAGGTGCGGAAATACTTTAAACATGAAATTACCTCCTCAGGATTTGTCTCTCAATAAATCGGTGTTAGAAAAACTTTTGGTTCCTCCTCTGAATGTTTGACTATTAAGGTTGTGTTTAACTAAATTGCATTCAGGACGGATTTTTAATTCACGTATGTCTATCTACGGCTAGCAAACAAACTACTGTTGTTTTGTGTCAAGCCACGAATGTGATATTTCACGCCTACCACTGAAGTAGGTATATAACCTGGAGATAATAAACAGATGATATAATGGAAAAATACTAGATTATCACGGTTTGTTATCTTCTAAGTGCAAACGTTACGAGACTTTTCTCACGGTATTTCCTGATTTTATTCGATTCTATTCAACAGGTGAAAAGGTGGTTCTGCGATTTTGACAACATCTTCGTACTGCTGACAGTTGCCGCTGTAGTTCTTGGCATGACCATTGGATTGGCTGTCAAAATCTACGCAAATCCTTCGCGCCGCACAATTTACTTAGTATCGTTTCCAGGGGAACTGCTGATGAACATGTTCAAGATGTTGATCATTCCATTGATAGTATCCAGTCTGGTAGCGGGTAGGTCTTATTTGTTGTACCATTTTACTAGAATTCATGATTGACCATTAGTCCTAGGGCATTTTTTGCGCCTAAATTATGAGTTCGTTTTCTTCAGCTGACAACTGCATTTAAGCGTTCAAGATGTATATGTTGGTGCTGGGTCACAAACATACCCTCGGCTAAGGCCGTTTCGACACATTCTAAAAGCAACTACCAATGATGAATAATCATGAAGTTTTATCAAAACTGGTAAAAGTCTATATAGAATGTCTCCTTATTATGAAGTCGTAAGCTTTGGTATCGACGGGATGGATACTGACAAAGCAAGAGTCATCGGTGCACCAAAATATCCCGAATAACAACGTTCCTCAGGATGCCTGCAATAGCACAAATTCAGCTACGTATGTGAATTCATGCTGACATTTCTGGATTTCTAGCGCCGTTAAAACTCTATCTTTGCTGTTGTTTTGTTCGCTCTAATTGATTGGACATTCTGTTGCTTAAAACCATGGTTTTTCTACATAATTGAAATAATCCGATTGGACTGAGGAGACAGACTGTCACATCTAGATTAGACCTTTTTGCGAGCTATAATGGACTGCTATTTCCCATCGTACTATCAAAAACACACTTCCACGAGTATTGTGTACCATGGTTTGTGCAGAACATGATAGCTTATGGGAGCATAGTCTCGTATGACATGAAATCAAAAAGGCTATTGCATCATTCCATCTTGATTTGTGATATGAATGCATCCATTCAATTGTTAGTGCTCAGTTTGACACCAGCAAAATAATCGTCTGCTTTGGTATATATACTGTGTACTAAAGCGGGTCACATTCTTTTGTGACGGTATAATAAATCGCCGCACAAACTATCCGTTAAAGGGCTGATGGGCAACCGTATTTGGTCTGTGGGGATCATTTGTATGTGTGGTTAGAAACGAGGCATCAAGAACAGAAATATATCATAACAACTTTTATTGACTAGATAATCTTTCAGCAATGTCAGTAGCAAACTGCAAAAAAATTAATCATTTGTATCTAGGCGTCTTTTCTCACCATGTTTGTTGCAAGGACAGTGCATGATGTGACCTACTTCATCCACTTATCGCATACTGTTTTTGGTTCATATTTTTACCGAGTCATATTGTCTACTTCGTTTATAGGAAAAGACCAGGAAGCGAGAATTTATACAGGGGATTAAACCATCATACAAGCGATATTCGCCAGTCACTCATATATTTACGCATTGCGTAAAAACCACCACTATCCGGTTATCAGGCTCTAGTAACTACATCCTTCCACGACATATGAAAGAAAATAAGATGTAAAGTAATACTAGCAGAGCGGATATCTATATTCAAAGCGCTGTGATGTATACGTTTGACGGTTGGCAGAATTAGCTGCGCAAAAAGTGGCTAAACTAATGTGCCATTGAACTATTAAATTTAAAGTAATAAGAGCGGATATCTATATTCAAAGCGCTGTGATGTATACGTTTGACGGTTGGCAGAATTAGCTGCGCAAAAAGTGGCTAAACTAATGTGCCATTGAACTATTAAATTTTATGCAATGCCAAGTCTACCTGAATTAAACAGCTTATCGATCCGATTGAATTTGGTAGCAGTGTAGGTGTTATGCACTCAATCCTTAGGTATGATTTGCCGGAAATAGAAGGACATTGGCCAGTTGGTTTTCATTGTTGTGTTATCAGAAAAATTATTCATCATGGAGATCTAGCAAGGCCGTTTTCAAACAGATGTTGAAAATACAGATAAGTAAAAAATAAACATTAGTGACTTGGATAAAACGTCACAGGTTCCTTAAGTATGGCATTTTGTATGAAATAGTTTGGAACTTTTGACTAAGTAATTATTTCAGCTCAGTTCAATCTTAACCGGCTAAAGTGTTTTGAATCTCTGAAAAAAACAAGATACGTAGGGAAGTATTTCAAAGACCTCAGGCAAGAACACAAGCACACAAAACGAAAATAATTGAAAATTGACTATCAGACCCGAAATACGAAAATCAGGCAGATTACATTGTACTTTATCACTCAGAAGTCAGCCAGCATAATGAGACTGCCAGCTGGAAATTCTGAGTCTTCTTTACGAAGAAACCACAGTCATATTTTATCCGAAGGTACAAGCTAACATCTCTGTTCTACCGGAAGTTAAATTGTCTGGATAGAAGCTTTCTTTCTTTCATCAGTAAACTTAGCTTAAGTATGCAGTTCAGATCAATGAATCCTGTGAATCTTTCCCATACAGGACTGGCCAACTTAGATCCTAAATCAAGCGGAAAAATTGGATCCTATGCATTGATCTATTACGTGGTTACAACACTGCTCGCCACCGTGCTGGGAATTGCGCTCGTTCTTAGCATCCACCCAGGCAACCCTAATATCAGGAAGAATTTGGGTGAGGGAACGACTGAGGAACGCAGACCCGAAACTTTGGATTCAGTTATGGATCTTTTGAGGTACGTAGTCAATATTCTTAGATAAAGCGTTCTAAAAACGATTCATTTCATTTGGTATTTCCAATTGATGCTCCGTTACTGACATACCACAATACTACCATAATAGTGAAATTTTCCAGAATCCTTTTGTGGAATGTGTATTTGTGCCGTCTGTACACAACTGAATGGATGTTTTGGTTAACACATAAAACTTATCAATTAATTTTGTATTTGCGGAGACATATCGTTGCAAAAAGCGGACATGGTCACAACTAGCCACAAGATTTTTAATAATTGGTGTCAAAATATTGGTGAAGACCACTGAAGCTCTTGGCTAAAAGCGCAGATTTTTCACCTAAAAGCACTATATTTTAAATATCAAACTGAACCACTACTTATAAACTCCTTTACTTGGAATAGCATTTGCATCTACCATTATCCGTAGATTTTTGTTATATTTTTGGTAAGAATGACCATAACCAGAGTCGAACAGGGCAAATTATTTAAATGCAACCAAACCGCTACTTTCTCTTGCCATGCAATTGGAAAGCAAGTGCACGGACATCGAAAGCCGTCTACAGAGAAATGTTGTTAGATAAACGAGTGAAGTCATACTGTTTTTTTAATTTAAAATTATGTTCGCGCTGAAAAACAGTTATCAGAAATTCAGCCAAATTGCTGTTTGTTTCAAACGACCCATTTAATTCATTTTGTTCTGCTTATGACGAAGATTTTTCAGATTCTGAAATTTTAGACCCGAAGCTCTAATTCATCGCTAGGCTTTGCATGCAGATGCTTACTTAAACAATCCACGCAAGCTGGGGGTTAAAAAATTTATTTCGCTCCCATTCATTTTAGTTTGGATTTTTATGAGGTTCAATGCACTTTATTGCGACAAATCCCAGTCAGCAAAGATTCAACATCTTTCCGTCAGCGACTGAAATATTCGTCTTGCTAGAATTAGCCACAAAACTATGTCACGTGGCGCAATATTCCTCTTACATAAACTGAAGAAATACATTTATATAGTTCTTATGTTTCGTTTGTTAAGTGAATGATGATCAAAAGCGAAATTGAGCTACGACGTTGACAATTTCGATTACCGATTGTTAGAGGGATTGTGTGGATTTTTTAAAGTTAACGTGGTTACGTAGAATAGTGCAACGTTTGTTCCTGGATCACTGTAAATATACAGATCTTGGCGTTTGTAAATCTATTCTATTCGTGATTATTTTAGATGTACGAGGCGCCATAAAGATTCCTTGACCGTCAGCACATCGGTTCGCGATTTGACTCTGTGCAAAGTTCCAGAAGGAAAAAACGGTGGATTAGGAGGCAGCAAAGACAATCGGCTTTTTCTAAGTAGATATTTTGGTCGATAAGACCACCACAAGTTATTCTACGGAGCTCTGCGCCTAGCGCCGAATATTATTCCCCGCCCTTAAAATTGATGTGATAGCTAGCCACATTGCGAAGTACTCTACGTCGCTCGTATTTTCTGTGTGAAATGTTAACTACTGTTCTGCCTTAATAATAATGATTCCGCAATAAACATGCGGACCATTCGAGACATTGTCAGACAGTGAATCGTCCGGACTGCGATTGTTTATGTAACGCAAAGCATACGGCAGATCACAGATGATCCCTTATGTACCATATTGTAATATGCAGCACTGAAAACTTGCCCGCGAAACCACAAATTAAATGTAAAACACGGTGATAGACTCATTAATACCTCCAAATTGGACGTCCCGTGTGACCTTTTATGTGGTCTTCCATTGGGAAGTTACCCAAATCTTAGTGGTCCGTAACATTGAACTAAGGGTTCGGTCGCTGAAAAAATCCGTAATCCTATTTCAGGTTGTTCTTCCTTTATCCGCACCGACTTTTAAACAGTTGCCTTTTACGGATTACGCTGCTTTAGACAGAATGCTTCAATGCCAACGAATAAGCCACAGTTTGCGTGATCTATTTGATCTACCTAGAGGTACTAGGCTACTTTTTCCGTTTCTCCAAGACATCCAAACTTTCACCGTAACTTCGCAGATTGATGCACAGCATTACGAAAAGGCCAGCAGTAAACGGGTAGCTGTAGGTATTTCCACTTAGCAAAGTTTCCACTTCGATCATCCGTTTGGTTGATGTGCTTCAAAATTTAGCTTGAGAACGCAGCAGTTGTGTACATTTTCGAAACAGCCTCCAAACAGAAATACCTTAGGATTGCGCTGTTAAACTTCATCGATGTCAAGGTGTCTGTGACGACATTCTGCGACCTGGTATGCCTGCGCTTACAGAAAGCGACAAAGTCCTTTAGGATCTTTTTATTTTCGGACGATACAATGAATATTATCACCACTAGATCTATTGCATTTGGCTGGAGTTTAAAGTCCATAGATGCAGAATGTATATGCACGTTATTTTTATGAAGGAGAACATTTTATTTCTTACTCATATCATCTAAGTACCCAGCCATTACTGAAAATATCTGTTGGCCAAAAGCTCGGGGTGAGATTATTGTTGAACAAAACAGATAAATCATCCAGTGCACATCTGATTTTCTGGAGTGTTCTCATTTATACTAGCCCACGTTGGTGTCCATTCTTCAATAACACGGAATGTGCACCGGTGATAATAAACTGAGCTAAAGATGAAATTCTAACAATCAAATTTTTCATGGCTACGCAGGAATAAATTGCGAAACCCTAGCAAAAAGTAAACAGACTCATTTTGGATGCAGTGGAGCAACCATGTTTCCAATCATTAGGCTTAATATTTCTCTTTCAGTGTGACATATTGCAGGACCTAAAGGAGATTCTCAAGGGCGAACCCAACAAGCTGGGTCTGCTGTCGTAGCAAAAGTGAACATCGTGTACGAAAAAAGCTAAAGGTTTGATAGAGAGATTAGAAATGAAAGTGAAGCGGTAACGCGGTATCTTTCATACATGATGGCGTATCGATTCTAAGACTTTACAGTTCGTATCACAATAATGGAGCTACTTCTATAAATACGTATTGTCCATCCTTTGAACCATAGCGGCGGTGCCTCCAATTTGGTGGGCTTTGTGATAATCAAATAAAAAAACCGAGAACGCAGCTCTTTTTGCTTACAGGGCATCCGTTACACACACTCGCATTTCGCACAGCAAGCATTGACCTGTAGCTCAGTAGTCTATATGTTGAATTCTTTCAAGGTGCGCGATCACGAGATACCTTGAATTATGATCGAACCATTTTATTATGCACTCTATTCTGGAAGTTTTTTCACCAGGAGTAGCTATATTAGAGAATGTTTTCTTCCGAAAATGAACGCAAAGCAACAACGCAACGCTTAAAAGGGTAAACTGGAGTCCACAGATATAAGGATGAAGAGAGATACTGGGCTATAGCTTCATGTAGTAACAATACGACCGAAAAAACTAGCATCCACACATAGTATGTCTCTTATTACATGAAGAATTACAGGTATATTAGAACGCGCATCTGAAAGAAATTCCCCCAAAGTCTACTAAGGAATGTAGGTTAATTCTAAGTATGCATTTGGAAGGCAGATAACAAGTGGGTTGTTTGATATCACTCCGGGAGTACAGACGTCTAGAGTTTCCAAAAGATTGGGGCTGGTAGATAAAATGAGGTTTCGAAATAGACTAAAAATTGCGTTTGGAGTTCATCGCAAAAATTTGCAGCTTTCGTAAGAAACATTATTCTTACCTACGAAACTGGAATATTTAAATGGACATCAAATGGATGCTGTGTAATCAGTGTGATAAGGACGACCTAGTTTTTGCATCACAGGAAGGCGTCGATGCAGATGAATGCCATGGATATTGCATCTAATTTCGCTGGCTTTCATTTGTGGCATGAGCGGTTCAAAAGTGATGTCCGGATTCCAAGGGTTGGCAATATGATCGTTTGTTTGTTGGATGTCACTGTATTAGCTAAATTTTTACAACAAATAGTTTCACCCAAACTGTGTTGACTACCCGAAGACATTTATAGGCGACATTGGTGTTCACAACGTTGCCTACTAGGAACCTTCGGTCATATTTTAGAACACGATTTTGGGATTACAATGAAAGCTTCAGAAAATACTTATCATGTGAATGTATTTCGTGCGAGAGTTCACTCGCAGATTATTGCACCTCAAATACAAATAAACTAAATCCGCTTTATGGTTGCTCTTATTTGCGTCTAGTGGTGCAGGCAGCCGATTTGCAGTAAAAAGTAAGAAGAGGGCGTGAAGCGTTTGGCTAAAATGAGAGTCCGAGAAGTCGCAGATACCAAGGGAGTATCTTCCGTTCCCACTGATAATGAGTCTACCAACCAAGAGTCGCAATACTTGGATTGCTCTAGGTTAGCTCACTAAGATGTAAGCAATGGAAACGTTTGGCACAGTAAACCTTCACAAGCGATAGAAACGTGCATAATGCGATGAATATTTGCGATGTAGTAACATACACTCCGGTTAATATAGTGCAGAAAACCTAGGAAGACGTTACTGCATTTTCATATTGGCATCGTCCTCTGGTACCGCCGTGTACTGTGGTGGATTAATGAATATTGGTCCATGAATGTTTGAAAATAAAGCAGCTTTGAATAACCTGTCCCATTACATCCGTGTACTAATAAGGAATGTGTTTTCCCCGAAATAAGCAGTCATTGCCCAATCCCTCTTGCTGATTCAAGGATTTTCCGCTTTATTTAGTGACAAACGGACTTTTGCATCACCCAAGTGAATTTTCCTGAAAAAAGTGCTATTTTTTGTAGTTTAACATTTAAAGGTTATCCTCTCGTGAAGAATGATTTGAATCACTTTTTACATAGGTGTTCGATGAAAATAATCGTTTCGTGCTGAGCAGAGACTGATGACCCACCACTGTGTTGAATAGCGGAACCACAAACATTTACTTAATCTGGCTTAATACAGTCAGAAATTAAGCTTGGAAAGACAAGCGATATCTGAAAAAAGAACAAATGGTGATTCACTTTTAACCGATATAGCGCTAAAAAACGGCCTTTGTGTGTTCTTGAAAGCATCCCTCAAAAAGAGATTAAAGAGCGTTGCACAAGTTTATAAGTAAATGCGTTTTTGGTTATGCAACTTACGCAATAAACGGAGAATGGCAGGATAGTGGCGCAACAGGTACCTAACAAGACAGATACACAAAGCACCGCCGCAGGTGGACCAAATCAAACAATCCATGTTTGTTTAAGATAGACAAATTCGGCAATAAAAAGTGCAGTCAGCCCACATACCTCTGAATGATAGTAAGTTAAACTAGAACGTTTCAAGTTGTTTTAAAGTTTAGGGTAATCAGCCCATAACCGAAAGAATCTCCAAGGTACTCATGTCTCATTTTAGGAAATATGAGCTAACTTAGGCACACCAAACTCGTATAAAAGAATAGTGGGTTCCATACTTCGGACGATTTGAACATAAGTCAACTTCTGTTGGAACCATTTAACTGATAGTTACATGGAATTGTGTAAATAACAACCTTCTTTGTGAACTGTTTTTGATGTTAGTTCAAACGTTTCTCTTTTCGCACTCAACCGTGATAAATGAATAAGAATGCTGAAAACTGTAAAACAGTTTGCAGTTCACTGAGGTTATGGTTTAAGGTCGAATTTACCAATTTCATACGAAGGTGAGAGCTGAAAAACTGCAGTGTTAAGCACTGACTACTGGCACCCCCACTTGAGGCCAGGTGTAGCTCTGGGCAGGATCGGTTCCCCAGATCCGAGACAAATGTACAGAAACTAGTATTTGTGCTACCAGTCAACCTCAGAACTGATTGAATCAATCAATTGTGATGGTACATGTGCATACACTTATTTGATTCAGTATTATTCTATCAGCGAGACTACTAATAGGTTGGAAAAAGCAAACAAGCAAACCTAAAAGCTAAACCTAATGAACTTAGCTAAAGGTAACTTACCACTTGGCTGAAACAAAGTCGTCCTAGAAGTCTTGAAGTTACTCTTAGAAGAGTTTTTATCCTCTATACACATTACACTACACACAAACGGAATGGCATGTTAGACACAATAAGACCCATGAAATGAGACGGACGTGGTTCACATTTACCTGTTTTCATTCACTTCGGCCACAGAACTAGGAGGCCGCAAGTGTAACTAAATTCCGAATCTAAATGATTCAAAATCCATCTGTTTTCATGTCTGTGTAGTGTCATTCCAGTTTGCACAACAGGCCCCTATGAGGTTTCCATGCAAGCCAAGAATGTCGCTTGTGTCTCAGATAAACATTTCTATACGTCTTTTTTAAATCACAGTGCCTTTGTGTTACTCATTCTCCAAACTACTTCACTGTTATTGTTCTTAACATTTCTACGGCAATTTAGGAACCTCTTCCCGGAGAACCTAATACAAGCTTGCATCCAGCAGCAACAAAGCTTTTATGTGAACGTGACAGCGCATCCAAAATACCTCCCTGCGATTCGGGACGCCTTGTTCAATTCAAGTGAATTAGCTGATAACCTTGGTGAACCTGTTACAGAAGAGATTGTGAAGCCGCGATACATGGATAGCACAAACGTTCTTGGTACGATTTCACATTATTTGTCAGTCTCCTCCAATCAAAGTTGATCATATGTAACGCAAACTGGATTCCGTGCGTTTTGTAGTGAAAGGAGGCGTTCAGCAATAACCACCTTGGATTACCACCTTAAATTGTTTTAGCTTGTGAGTAAGCTTACATAACACGATGGGCTCATTGAATATGTAAATATGTTAATAATCTATAGTCACTTGAATGCGTTTTGGTTTCACTGTAGGCCTACTCGAGTTCAATTTGAAAATCACGTAAACTGTCCAATGGAGCTAATCTTGAGAAAATAATAATTTTTGATCAACTGTCCGTAAATCGAACGCAGGAACCCACTATATCGGTTTCTGTAACGCTGAGCCCCGAAAAACATCATCTCAAGGTTTTCACTCCACAAACGATAGGTTTACTTTGGCTTAGGATGCATCATATAGAAAGGAAAGACTTAGTTTCGACAAATTGTCGTTTCTAGTAATATCATGCAGAGCATGTCAGAGGGGCGTCAGGCCATGCATTGAATCAAAGTAATAGTTTTCAACATAAGTTCCCGTTTTCTGCAGAGAGTAGGATCCACTTTCAAAATTGCGCTTCTCCCAACATTTATTCCTCTCTCATCGCTAACTTATTACAGTTCATTTGAAGATGATAATACACTTCAAACACCCCATATCAGTCAGCTGGAATAAACTAGACGGAGACATTAGCCCGGGTATTCCTCAAATAAAATTTGAAATTTCAGTCATTGGTAAAAGTCAGTGACGGCGTAGAGACGATGCTGACTGGAAATTTACGTAAAATTTTGATGAAGAGATCAAGGTTATCACAAAATACTGCTGATGTACTTTGACTGTATGGAAACCAATATTCTAAGAGTGATTTCTACACGAATTAGTAATCACACATCCAAGGCATCATACTATTTGGGCCGTCATTTCATCTACTACTTGGCTGTTTGATACATCGTTTTTTTCGGCATTATGTAGCTTGTTATTCTCAAACGATAAAGGTGCCCTTGCCAGACATCAACCAGGTGATCCATTTCTACATAGATGAGTCAAATTTGATTCTATCATATCAGCTTTATTAAATGACGGTTTTCCACAGGACAATAGTTTTTTCTAAACATTTTTTTCTTTTTTTGGACAAACGTTTTTCGGTACCGATTTTATGAAACTCCGATTTGATTTTACTGTCTAGAGGTGTGATACGTTTCAAATAAGCTTAGCAGTTGAATCTACTATCCGGCCTTTAGTTGTGATTCGGCTTTACTAACACTTTCTGCATCACGAACGGAAAAAAGCGCAAGTTCTCATTATAGCATTTTTAAGGCGTATACCAAAACACGAATAGTTACTCAGTGGTTGAATTTTTCGCTCTTATCTGTTTGAATGTTGGTTTCACATGGTTGGTTACTCGCAGGACGTACAGTCGTGATGAACCTGAATAAGGATGAAACAGCTGTGATTTTCCCCTTTACTGACTAGTATCACGTGAGTATCACGTACAGGCCAATGCTCAACTTTACTTCTACTAGTAATAGAAACATATTTGTTCAACCAAAACCATCGCTTTCATCTTTCGGTTTGGCGTGTGCTGTCTGGTTGCCATAATTTCGACCTATTCAGACAGATTATCTCCATACAATCACGAGGAAGTTAAAGGGGAAATGAACGAACTCAGAAGTCTGGACGGCAAGTAGATGTGTGTGGGTACAGTGTGGTAAGAAAATTAACTGTCCATTGGACAAGACACGCCGAGCCGTGCAGCATGCAGACAGCCTAGACCGTTATATATTGATTTGTCTGACTGACGTTTGCGCCTAGAAACAATTCTTTCAATAACTGTTATTATTATCTTGTGATACAGTGAACAATTTATTGACGGATGAGCTTACCAACTCACGATTAAAATATGGTTTGTTTGTATCTTTACACAAATTATGCAGCGTAGTTTATGCTGAATGACAACGAAGCCGGAAACGGTTAATCCGTTTTGAATCAAAAACCTTGCATAGCCATCACATTTGCAGATATTTCTTTGTAGATACTCACAAGAAACTTCTTTCGTGAGTCGTCATGACAGTGTTGGAACAGAGGGCATACTAGGACAAATTAGTATTAAGTGAAAGCATGGAAATTGTTATGCGAATGTTACTTACCTCGAAAAATCATGAAGACGGCGAATGCGTCAGTGGACAAACAGGCCGAAAAATAGCAACCTCTTTCCGTTAGATCAATCGAGATTCTAAAGTGCCTTAGATACAAAACACTCTACTACAGCTTAGCAGCTGCCCCGTGATGTGCATTTTACATTTGACTATCTCATCTTGACTAGAGATGACAAGTGCAACCAGCTGAATGGGATTTGTCATTCAAATATATATAGTCAAACCACCAGACGTCTCCGTATGAATCGTGGATTTCTGTAGGTTTAAGCACAGCTTATTATGACACTTCAGACAAGCCATTGAGATCCCAGAGAGTGAGAATACTTGCGGACATTCACAGATGTTTTAAAGCCATCAGCCGTCCCGCGAATAAAAGGCACCAGTTTCTTATATGTTAAAGGGATAACATTGTTCCATATTTTTGACGTGATACCCCGTCTACATCCGTGTGGTGCTCCATAAATAAACCTTGAGACATTTTAGTAACATGACCAATTGGTCATAACTCTCGGTGTTGTTATTTTCATCCCTAAGGAAACTTTCATTTATTGGTTGCGTACTTTTTCAAATAAGGTGGTGTGTACGACACTAACACACAAGTCTGATCCCGGTAAGGCATGTTCGCCAGCATACTAAGCCAGTCCACGTGTTCCGGACACTTTTTTGCCCTAAATCAACTTAGCTCCCTCGGAGGCATCATTTATTTTCCATAGATGAGATACAATTATCACAAAGTCTCCCACACATGTCTGGATGGCCTTCAGGATTCTCGTTTAAACGCCAGTTCAGCTCACGGTCGGAAATGGACGGATGCATATGAGTGAATACTTATATATATATATATATATATATGTATATATATATATGCGTATACGTGTGTGTGCATAATACATGACAAGCAACTATACAGGAACTGTAGAAGTAAAAAACGACCTGAAGACAAAACTGAAGAAACCAAGACCGAAGTGCCTAAGAATTGCAGACAGATTAAAATTTCAATCCGTAACATTTGATCACCAAGCGCGGTCTCTGAGACCAGGGGTGTAAAAAATAAAAACGTACAGGAGTTTACATGCAGAAGTTGTTGCACTTAAATGCACACTGGGAAAGTTCCTGTAGACAAGTGGTCATAGCGAAATGTAAAAAAATACAAATCATCACCGAGGGTTGCCTCATGAAAATTCATTGTTTAGTTATAACATCTGGCAACAAACTAAAACCCTTTTACCGAGAGCTGCTAGGGGCCGAATACGCTGATTATTCTGCAAATAGCATGGGCCAGTAACACAAAATGGGCAATAAAGTGGTGACAATATTAGACACTTAGAGAAGAGTAAGTTCATTCATAAAGTGGTAACCTGCGGAGACAATCACAAGGGGTTGAGGTATCGCGGTCAACAATCCAATTAAATATGCTTTGTTTTGCAACGCACCTCTCTTCTATCATGCAATGAAGGAAGATTGAAATGGAAAAGTCATTTCTGCTTACCGGTAACAGCATATACGGGCCAGGTTCCAACCTGTGACGAAGACCGCTATTTGAATGTAGGGTACAGGATATAATCGGAATTTGAGTGAGGCGGCCATGTGTTATGTAGATCAGGATGGCTACTCAGTAAGGTCCTCAGCTACCTGTTAGTTTTTGTTGGTTTATCTCTACTGCTTAAGAGGCTGATGATTACCGTTTCTGAAATTCGTGATCAGTTCGTTTTGTTTTATTAATCCCTTTCTTCCCAAAATTAACCCAATAAGCTCATCCGATTTTTGGGCCTATGGCCCATTTATTGTGATGGATAGAACGTTTCCCTACTCCTGCCAGCCTCCGACGCTTTTTAAGCAAGGCGTGCGAACTGGCATCATTATAAATACTTTTCAAATCATTTTGACGTATTGTCCATATTTGTGCTACTCAGATACCTAGACACAAGATGGCCTCTGCCATCATAAAGGACGAGGTTTTGTGTGCTAATTTACATGAGCAAACTTGTTTAAATATCCTTCTTAGTCGTTCAATTGGAATTCAATTTGCACTCTAGCTATGAGAGTCCAATGTACTGCTTGTAGCAAATACTTTGTTTCTGGATATTTTTCCATAAAACAACGCAGCAAAATGCAGCTCATTCATCTTCACTGCTCAATATTCATGGATTTATTATTTTAGAGCAGATTGCATCAAACTTCGGATAAACTTTATCTGGTACCACATATAAGCGTGCTAAATGAAAGCTAGAGTTGCGTGAATCCTTAATTGTCAACATGTTTTTATCCACAAACAGGACTATTTGTACATCTATCCTCGGATGATTCGCCCTTTTGTTGGCATTTAAACCGGTTATCCAACAACATTTGCTAGCTTCTTCATTGTTACTCATCTTTTGTTCTAGAAGTAAGCCTAAAAGTACATCGCCATTTCTTTTGATACGACAGTGCATTCTGGGATCTTTTGTTGATCATTTACAATTAATCAGTACCACTAAGGCAGTCTATCCACTGCATGTATTTTTTCGGCAACGTCAAGCAGTTTCTTCCCATGCAGTGCGAGGCTAACTACGTCAACATTGTTCACAGCAGACACTCGTTGACTAACTACATATTCAGCCCGGTGATATCTTGTGGTTTTCATGCAGTTCATCCCGGTTACCTATTATCTACAATGACTTCACGTAGGAGGGACTAGCCAAAATAACTATATATATATACATATATATATATATATGCATCGTTTTCTAGCTTACTGCAAATCGCCCAAATCTTCACTGTTTTTCCCTGACACAGTCCCCAAATAAAGGATTGAAGTTAGGTTCTTCGTTCCAATGAATTGGTCATAATT